TATATATTGTTATCATGACGTTGGTGTTGGTGTCTGCATAAAAAACTATATAATATATATAACATGATGTTATTAGTGGGTTTAGTTGGTGTTTTTCGTGTTGACTGAATTATATGTTAAGAGAGATTTGGTGTGTTTTTGGTTTGGAAGAATTGAAGGCACAAATGGAGAAAGAACTTCTGAAGTTGAAATGTTTGGTTTGTTTGAGATGGTAATGGAATGATCTGAACAATTAATGAATGACTTTGATCTGCTAACTATTTACTGCTATATATAACTTCTTTGTTATACTTCTGGAAATTTTATGTTACTTTCCTTTTCATTCTTTTGAGAAAAAAAATAAAAATTGTTGGCTTATTTATCATTTTCGAAGTTATATTTAATGTTTTAATAAATTTAAATATCATGTATGAATAAAATAATTATTTAGGATGAAAGAGTATTAATAAAATAATTTCTATTATAGCTTATTAATTAAGTTTGTTTTCATGATGACGCCTGTTCACTCGTTTAATTAAATGATTGGGCTTGGGCTTGGGCTGTCCGTGTATACGAAAGGTGGATGGTTCCCACATTTGATTCAAGTTGTTTATGGGCTAAGCCCATTTTAGATTGCTTTCTCATTTTCAAACACAGTGAATCACATTAAGATGTCGACTTGTTTTTCATTTCAAATAAATTAGTAAACACGTTAAAAACATTTTGCTATAGATATCAAGCACAACCCATATTAGTAAGTAATAATAAATCATAAATTCAAATATATTATTCAAATAAGAATTCACGTGATGTGCATTATATTCGTCAAGCTATGTGCCAAGCTTTAATTTTAAGAATAATAATAATAATAATAATACTGTAAAATGAATTAATATTTCATAACTAAATATTATAACTCAATAAATATTAATAGATACAATATTTAATTTATCGTGACATATTTTAATTTGAACTTTCAATGCACACGTTATGATTTGATTTATTTTAAAAGGTATTGCAATAATTATGCCAATAAAAATAAATGTTGTAATTTTTATTTAAAATGTTGTAATTATGCCAATAGAAATAAACTTACAATCGAAATATATCTACTGTATTGAATCGAAACACATTTAATGTATCGAATCGAAACAATAGGTAGGATTAGTTAATTCATTTATAATTTATGTAACG